TTTTTCCCATTTTGTCTCTCATAGTTGAGGTATACCTATGATGAAAATTACAGGCCTCTCTCATCTTTTTAAGTGGGAGAACTTGCACAATTGGTGGCTGACTAAATACTTTTTTGCCCCACTGTATGTCTGGCAGAAGAGTTTATCATCCAATATGTATCGCAAGACATAGAATTGTGCTCTAGGATATATGTACTTGAATACTATTTGTATTAGATAAGCATATATAGAATTGGAACTGTGTACTATTATAATCATTTTTAAAAACTTGCTTTTGGTTGTGCCAAGTAGGAGGGCAAAAAAAAAAAAGGGGGGGAAGAAGATCCCTTAGAGCTATGACTGTATGCATACAGGACAAATAATGCAGCAAAATGCAAAATGCACAAGGAGAGAGATTAAGAAGTCCAAGTATACGTCCTTCCTGGTATGCAGTCTCTATCCTGTTTGAGTAAATTCTGAAAATACTCTGATATTGCCTCTTTGCATATTCTTCTGCATGTTGCCATCAAACTCTGAGTCTCATATTATTGAAAGATACTTTCCCCATACTCAGTAGGAGGACTGTTGTATATAGCCAATTGACATGTGAAATACTGGAGTTACTTAGGAGTACCCTGTAACACACACATAAAGCTTAGGTTCCCACATCCCACTAAGCCACATGTGGCTTGTTAGTTTTTGATGTAGTACATTTAGAAATACTAGTTTATAGGTTAGCATGTTATGTGAACCCAGCTAATTGCTATTTATTCTGTAAAACCATATTAAAACAAACAATGGCTTAATAGGATGTGGACATTGCGTTATGGGAGATCCTGCTTAAGAGGGACCTTTCTGCTACAGCAGAATAAGGATGTCACAGGAGTAACAACAGTGGAGGAGGGAGAGAGTTATGTGGAGCACTCACATACTGAAGTCTCCATGTCTGAATTGCCATTTGGAGTTCCTGAGCATACTGATTATGTGCTTTTGGCTACATTGTCCAATGCAGTTGCCTCACTGATTCCGTTCCATATAGGGTATCAAACTGGCTGCATCATAGTGTGAGAAGCATCTCATCCTCTTGGTTACAGCAGTTGCATATGATTGACTGGCTATAGGCAAGGAGCCAATGCACAAGGAATTCCATGAGTTTACTCTGATCTGAAAAGGTGCTTCAGAGTGTGCAGGGGAGATGTGAAGCATCTTTTTGGAATCAGATCCAAAGCACCACACAGTTGTAATCATTGCTTACCTTGGTCTGATGGACTTTGTTTCATTAAATAAAATGGCAACCTAGGTAACTTCAACCCTTTTCCTGATATATCATGTCAGGACATATGCCCACAAATGCAGGGCAAATAATATTATTTGGGTATCTATTTGGATTGACTTTTTCTCCATTTTTGAGAGTGATAGCTCTAAAAATAACAACCAAATGAAAATTAAATCCAATGTTTCCTTAAAGGATAGGGAAAGTAAACTCTGATAACCTCTCACTAGAAGAACAGGTGATTTCTGCAATAGATTTTGTAATACTGGATGTCCAGCTCTGTCAGACCACTGGGAAAGTGACAATAAGCAGAGTAAAGTGTATGAAGGACTCCAGAAGCAACATCTTGTTTTTATTTAGTTCTCTTTTGAGTCATTAACAGTCAGGCGCCAGTAGTGCTGAAACTTATCATTATTACAACCACAAATGGGCTTTGTATCCAAGAGGAAGACTTTATCCTTTAGCTGGCCTTAGGAGAGAGAGAGAGAAAAAAAAAAACTGTCATAAAAGCAAAAAATAAATGTTGGGGAAAAAATCCAGAGTGAAATACAAAATGAAATTATTAAACCTTGATCTAACATAGCAAGCATAACTAAGTAGCCCAAATCATGACAAAAGAAAATAGCCAGATAACAATACCTAGCAACTCTAATTATATTTAAGGACCAGAACAAGAACTGTTAGGCATTGTTTCACTGTTTATCCCTGCTTTTACTTCTTTTCCCTAAAACATTTCCTACATCAAATGTTAAGACTGGACAGTGTTTGAGGTAGGGTGATTTCTCTTTACAAGCATCGTATTTTCTGGGGTGAAAAATATGTGTTCCTCCATATCTCACTGAATTATAGCTTCATACAGACCTACTTTGTACAACTAATATTGAGGTGCACTGAAACTCAGCAATATCTGGAAGGAAGTCACCTAACCAGGAGTTGTTCTTTTCTTTCATCTTGGTGGGCCTGATGCCTTTCAGAAGAGAAAGCCCTATTCATCTTTCAACCACTTTTTTCTGCTCAGGGACAGGATGGAAGCAAGATTTCCTAGTCTTTTTGTACTGTACATATGGAAGAAGGGACTGCTTTTTCCATGTGCAGCAGGGGAGAAAATTGCTTCCAACCTCCTCCTTCAGATGGGGAAAGGAATTGTCTGCCCCTGCTCCAGTACTAAGAGACCACCTCTAGGTGAGCTCTCTCAGCACCAGGGAGAACAGGGTTAGCACAGCGATAGAGAAGGCATGCCTCCTGGGTCCCGCTAAGTGACACTGTTTAATAGATAGAACTCAGCACACCAGCCCTGTCTAATATTGTTGTACAGAGATAATTCACCTTAGTTAAGGTCAAATTTCAAAAGGATCCTGATAATATAAAGGCATAAAATGAAGACTGGATTCATACATTGTAATAAGCCATGCATTACTTAACCATGATTTGTTGGATAAACCTTAATTGGCTGGGTTCACACAAAATGCCAAGCCAAAGCCAACCAACCAGATTATTGCTTAATATGATAAATGAAGCTACTAAAACTATATTGTTGATAGATCTGGATGATATTCTTGAAAATACAAACAGAGATGGGAAATTTTTTTGATTATACAATCAAAACCTCAACCTTCCCCAACCTCAGTACCCTCCAGATATATGGGCTTTTGAGAATTCTAGGAGTTGAAATCCAACATCTGGAGAATGTCTAGGTTGGAAGAGCCTATGCCTAGACATAAAGTGTAGGTCTTTTTAAAAAATTTTGGCTTAGTGCAATGGGTAAACCCAGCCATCTATCATAATAGTGAAACAAGACATGACTTTGTGTAATGTATAGTTTCAACATTTTTGTGTAAGGTCAGTAGAAGTGAGGAATATGTCAGGTTTCTGAGATTTACTTTACATTTGATTAGAACCCAGAAGTCCGGCAATTAGAACTAGGTGCCAAATAGTATCTTTGGGGTTTTCCTTGGTGGTTTAACATGCCATAGCCCTTCTCCGGCAATAAAAAGAACTGACATCATAAAACGGGTTTTCTGACTGTGGCCTCCATTCTATGTTTATAGAATCTTGCTAACCCAAAGCATTGTCCTCAGAGAGTATCAATAGTTTTGAGGTAAAGATTGGTCAATATACAATTACTGTGATGCTTGGTATATCTTGCTGGCCATTGACTTAAACATCTTTCCATACAGTCAAGACATACCTCATTTCACACCCTAAACAGTTAACCTGACTTCACTCTCTAATAAAGGGTGGTAAGTATGCATTTTTTAGTATCTTGTTGCTGTGGTGAAAAAGTCAGCATAATACTCATGGACTAGGGACAAGGTATGTTCAATATTATGTGACGAAGAGGGAACATTGGTACTGCCATGGCATTCTGGTGCCAATATTAACTGGAAATAAAGTATTAGTGTTTGTGAGATACTTTTGATATTAAAATATATGGGTATCTCTGAACAATAGAACTGAATTCATAGTCCTGTTATGCACAAATCTACTCCTTGTTCCCCACTTTTCCTCCATTTCTACTGCCTAATTAAAAGTAGAAGAAAATACTATTTTTGTTTTTGTTGCTGATAAACTATTTGGAATCCCCAAACACTGGGGATTGTCTACCAGAAAACTCCTATTTTTTGCCCACCTGATAAAATAAGGGCAGTCCTTGTTGTGCCAACAATATAGCTGAACAGTTACAGGTATCTGTGATTGCTTGCTTCAAGATGTGCACGACTAAAGGGCCAAAATGTTAGTAATTTCTTACTAGAGTCTTGCATATAATCTGAAACACTGTCTAGATGAAATCTGGTGCCGTACAGTACTTGCTCATGGGTGCAGTAAGATGGAGGTTAGGCAGAGAAAAATAGCCATTTTTACAAGAGTTGGGTGGAATCCTTTGAGAAGCATATTTTAGTACAAATGACAAAACAGATCTGCTCCTTTGGACATCTCAGAGGATAAGCAATGGCTGAATTTACATGCCCTGCTTAACCATGGCTTACTCAACCTAATTTTTTGGGGTTCTCAGGATGCACACTAAACCACAAACTAGCTACATGGGCTGAGTCCACAAAACATGGTAAGCTAAAATGAGGTTGGCTAGATTGTGGTTCAGTGAATCTTGTGTGTGTTAATACTCAGAATATCAACAATTTTAGCTCCTAAATACTGTAACTTAAACATTGCAAAGCTGTTGATTTTAAGGACAGTATGCCCTCCTCTTTCGAATAAAACCATTACCAGTCACAGCGAAAGATGAGTTACTGTTGTTACAATACAATGTCCACGAGGAAAGCGGTGAAACACACCTTCCTCTGCTGAAGCATCTTCTCCCATATCTGGACCCTTCGGCTGTGAAAATGAAGCCTATGCAAAAGTGAAACAAATCCGAAGGATCACTTTACTAAGCAGCCGGCTACCTGACCCAAGGGAGGAGGAGGAGGAGGAGGATGGAAGAGAAGACCAGTTCCTGGTGTAACCTCGATCCCCTTCCTCCAGCATTCCGACTGCCGAGTCTTGTTTCTGGCCGGAAGCCATTTTCCTCGCCGCAGCGTCTGGTGTCCTGGAAACGGCCCGGCGGAGGAGAGTGGGCTGCGCTGACAGGATGCTGAACGCGGATCGCCTCTCTCAGCCGGGGCTCGAGTATCTGGGTGAGGCTCCAGCGGGCGCGGCGGGAAGAGGAGGAGGAGGAGGAGGTGGAGGTGCAGGTGGCTTCTCCGTTCTCGCCGCGGGGCGTGGCGCAGAGTACAATGACCTAGACCTAGTCCGTGGGAGGGCTGGGTTGGAGCTGTCGGCTTGCCAGCCCTCCGGGTGACTTGCCTCTGTCGGTATTTTCCTGTCGCGTCCGAGGTGGGGATATGATGCTTTAGGGCAGTGTTTCTCAACCTTGGCAGCTTTCAGATGTGTGGATTCCAAACTCCCAGAATTCTCCAGCCAGCCTACTGGCTGCGGAATTCTGGGAGTTGGAGTTCACACAGCTGAAAACTGCCAAGGCTGAAAAACACTGCTTTACCGACCAGGGCAAGCCAGCATGTCACTGGAACTACTTGCTCTCTCTCAGAGCTTGGGACTAAATTGTACTGTGAAGGAAAAATTGGAAACGACTACCAATGCAACCATTTCAAATATAACAATTTCAAGTAATAAACATTTATTTATATTGTAATAATTGCTATGTTATAATAACAGCCTGGAGAGATTGTTTATCATCTGGTTCTCTGGCCAGTGGTGGTTCCTTCTGAGTAAGTGGCCTGGTTCACACAGCATTGCTAAGCCATATTTTGTTGAACCATGGCACAGTTGTAAGGTCTACCAGAGACCATTGTCTGGGTTCACATAACCCTAAATTAAACAAGCTACAAGGTTTTGGTGCAATGTGAGAGCCCACTTGTGGTTTAATCAGTAAACCATGGATCAGCAAATTATGGCTTAGCATGTGTGAACCTAGTCACTATGCAGGAAACCTCATTTATCACTCTAAAATATCTATAAAACTGCTTAATAGTTGTCTAAATGTTTTACAATTTTGCATTCTTCCCCTCCCCTCCATAATACCCCTACTCTGTATAAGTCCACTTGCAGATTATGTTTAATTGGGTTATTGCGTCATGTGAACCCTAGTTATTTTGTGTCAAGAAGAGACTTAACTGCTTTCAAAATTATCTCAATAGTAATGTATCCTATCTTAGTCAGGCTGTACAGTACAAACTTAGAAGGAAAGCTGAACATACTCTTCCAGCCTTTGGATATAGAGATGGGAGCCTAGAGAGGGCTGACTAAAATAGGAAGTTCCAGGCATCATCACCATCACTATTACTACTTCCTCCTCCTCCTCCTTAGAGTTGGGGAGAAAGGGAGTGAATTGGCAACAAAAATGGGGTGAAGGTAACTAAATCCTCTTATACTCTAGCCATTTATGTCAGCCCCAACCCTCAGTAGTCCACTGTTGATACATGCACATATGTGTGTACATACACTTACACAATCAAAAAGAAAGCCAGGAGTAGTCAGTTAAAAAGATGCTTGGGATACCAGGCTAAATGTCTGCATCCTATTTAGTCACCACAATCCTGCCTTTTACCAGTTCTTTGCCTCTAGGCAATTAGGTTAATAGTCATCTAAAAGTAGTAGCATTTTTTGAGTTGATCAAAATCACTTGGAATTCTCTGTCTCAACAAAAAGTTAAAGCCAAATCAAAATTTGACATATCACTTGGTCTTCAGAGATAAATACAACTAAAAAATTGTAAAATAAGGATTACCTTACTCATTAATAAATGTAGTCTGCAAACAACTTAAACTATAAAACATACTTAGACACAAAGTTGATTAATATTAAAAGAAATAAATAGAAAAACCTTTAGTTTTAATCTTATGTTTCTGCTCTATGTGGAACTTAAAATCTAATCTCCCAAAATGGAATCTCTGTTCAGAAAGGAAAATCTTAGTCATTAAATTGCCTCAATGCTATTTAGAGTGCCTGTAATGTTAACATGGCACTTTGTATCTTGGGGGGGGAATACTTTTTTTTTTTTTAAGCTGTTGAATAATACTTTAATAGAATCTAGTGAAAGTAAGCAAAGTTTGGAAAAATGCCTTTCAATCTTTTTTGGCATTGATCTGCAGTTATTCAAACAACATGCTTTGAAGAGAATGGCAACCTTATTCCAGGTGCTTTATTGTATTTCTCAAGATCTTGCTAATAGTATTATCTGTCTGGGAGACTATAGGTAATTGTGACGAGAGAAACCAAATCAAGTTAATCTTATTCAGAAGACTGTTTGTTGCCCAGGGCTGTCATATCAGGTGTTCTTTGAAGAGATGCTTAACTCAGCTTCCTCACTTTTTGGGATGGATGATCTTTTAAACACACTCTCTCTTTGTCACACACACACACACACACACACACAAGACATGCAAGTTAAATGGGGGCTTCCAAAAATCCTTCTGCTATGTTATAGTGAATATCCCATATTCACATTATTTTCTATATGGTATTTAATTATAATAAAGCATACTTCTGTTGGACTAAGTTCATCATCCAATGCTTTATATTTTTTCTTCATCTTTCACAACATTTATGTTCAATATATTTTAAGAAGTTGATGTTTCAAAAATTATTTCTCATTGGTATAGTAGTTGCAGTGTCAGTTGCTTGATTGGGTTAATTGGGAATGATATAACTTAACCTTTCCTCCCCACCTGCTGGATCCACAAACAGAACCCTTACCCCACTGTCCTTGACATAATATGTTCACTGAATTCCTTTTAAATGTTGTGAACAGAGGGGACCTTGGAGGTGGGGAGTTCTTAAAAAAAATGTAACAGAATGAGAAAGTTAAGCGCAGTCAAGATCATAAGCATAGGGGTCGGTACAAGAAAAAAAAATCCAGTTGTGGTGACAAAAGTCAAACAAAGAATAAGAGGATTGCAGAAGGAAAAACAGATTATTTTGAAATAAAAGCATAGTTAATTTACAATGCTTTAAATAGGAAGTATTAATGTGTAGCCAAAAAAGGGAGCTCAAATGTTCAACTACTTACTGAAGTTAAGGATGTTGCCAATATGGAAACTAGCTAGTGAAATAAATAATAATAATATTACTTAGCTTTTGCAAAATACAATTTCAGTATTCCTTACAACAGCTCTGTAAAGTAGGCCAACATAATAATCCCATTTTAGATGCCAGAGTTCAGGCATAATGATTTTCCTGTGGCCTCTTTGTGAATTCTTGGCTATTCAGCCAGGAACTTTCTGGCTCAAAGTTCACATTCTTAGCTACACCATGTTTGATTTTGTTTCTCAGCCTTGAATTCTTGGTTCCTTTGATGAAACTTGGCCTTTTCAGTGAAGTGGTTTATATATTCCATCTCTAATTGAGGGCTTACTCTTCGGAGAGCAATTTTGAAACTTTTAATTATTTTCTCTCTTGAGCTAAGTTCCTTTCCTTCCCCTCTCTACCAGAATCCTTTTTCCTTCATCTTGTGCCAGCTGTGGACATGTGAGAACATGAGCCCCTGCCAGAGAAGCTCTGCATTTTATAAAGCTTGGGTCTAGTCAGTGCCAGAGATGTTGTGCTCTCTTACAAAAAGGAAATGCTGAGGAATGGGGATATTCTGCCATTGCCAGCCAGAGAGTTCTTGACTTTTAATACAGTACCTGAAAACTAGCTCCTGAAGCACTGCGTGTATGCTTGATGATTTCTGGTTATGCTTTCCTTCCTTTCTGGCTGGCCACCTGCCTTCATATAATTAACCATTTCATATGTAATTAATGTAAACATGTGTTTAGTTCAATTAAATAAAACTAGTAATATAGCTAATTCAGTTATACCTGCAGTCTGGGTTCCAGCAGCACACTAAACCACAACTGGGTTGTTTGGATTTAATGCATCATGTGAATGCAGCCATTATGATTTTTAACCATTGTTTATGGCATAGCATAAGACCAGCCAGTTGTAGTGCATCTAATAAGCCATGGTTAACAAAAAAAATTACACAGTTGGTTTCATAAATCAAGCCAAAGACTGGGTTAGATCCAGACTAAATCAGTCATTGTAACTAAATGCTTTTCATTTTTCCCATTGTTTTTTGATGGTGTATATGTTCAGTTAATTAGTTTGCCTGTGTCTTTCTGAGTCCTAAATAATAGTTTTTAAAAATATTTAAGATGGAAAAGATACAAAAAATCTATTAGCCTGACATTTTGGGAACAAGCAAGAAGATGGAAGAGAAAACTCTGTAGCATGCAGCATGCCTTGTGCCTCTGAGCTATCCTGTTGTCATCTGGTGCAATGAAGGATGCTATTCTGTTACCATATTGAAGAATAATTCAACTGTCATTCCATTCAGCTCTTGTATATGCAATGGGGTGGGGCACCATCTGCTATTTCACCTCAAACAGTAAAATGTCTTGGATGAAAACCTGAAATAATAAAAGCAAAAATGATAGCACTACAGTATGTGAAAAACACCAATATGTAAGAAAAAGAACTCGGGATTTTAGTAAACCTTAAGTGCGACCTAAGCAAATACAGTTCTTAGCTGCATCAACAAAGGTATAAAGTCCTGATCATGTGAAATGATACTGTAATTTTATTTCACTTTGATCAAACCTCACTTGGGTTAATCTGTGCAGTTCTGAGCAATGCTTTTTAAGAAGGATATTGGTAAATAGGAACATTTACAGAGAAAGTTGACAGATTGGGTTTGGCAACCAAATTCTATGGAGCAGTGTTAAAGGAACTGGATATAATTGGCATGGAGAAGACATTTAGAAGCCAACTGATACCACCAAAAGGATTTTAGCAAAATATTAGAAAGAATCTCCTGATTGTATTTTCTGTACCTCAGAAAATAGCAGATTGTATGTTACTAGATTTTTAAACAGATTCTGGTGCTTAAAGATATTTAAGATCCAAATATCAGGGATGCTATAGCAGCAGACCTTCATGTTGTAGTAAGGGATTGAACTAGGTGATCTTTGAGAACTCAACCTTTGGCTGAACTATTCATCATACTAATTCAGGAGATTTGAAACCATGATTTGTTGAACAAGCCATAAAGGCCAGACTCATAGTCAGCCTGAGTTAAAAAAAAGTGACACAACATTCAAAGTAAAAATCAACATCATGGCTTACTGCAGTGTGTGGG